ATTCATGTGGGATTCGCAATCCATTACTGAAGTGGTTAAAATCGTTTCTAAGCAATAGGGTACAAATAACCAAGGTTGGATCTGTATTGTCTCATCTTAGGCAGATGACAAGTGGGGTTGTGCAAGGTAGTGTCCTAGGTCCACTTTTATTTACAGTATACATTAACAGCATTTGCAACTGCTTCACCTTAGGTAAATCATTCCTATATGCTGACGACCTCAAAGTCGTTTACTCCTGCTACGCTCATGAACTAAGCGATATGGTAAATGAAATGCATCCTGAACTAAGTAGTCTCGCAACATGGTGTACTGAATCCTGTCTAAAGTTCAACATTGATAAATGCGGCTGGATTTGTATCGGAAACAGTAACCTTGACCTAAATCTTGAAATAAATAGGCGTAAACTAGCCAAGCTCAACTCAGTCGTAGATCTCGGTATCAGATACTCTAGTAACTTAACGTTCTCTGAACAAACTGATTGTGCGAGACGTAAAACACGAAGGCTCCTGGGATGCATAACTCGCAATTTCTTTTCTTCTGAAACTAGGGTCTTATTATGTAAAGTATGTGTCCGACCTATTTTAGAATACTGCCCGTTTATTCTTAGCGGACTCGGACAAAATGACAAGCTTAGGTTAGAAGGAGTGCAACGGCAATTCACCTTAAGAATTCTTGGTTTAGAAAGTGGCCTCCAATACTATGAACGTTGCGACAGACTAAGTTTAGAACCACTCTGGAAAAGACGTCTTAAGCTAAACCTGATTTTTTACTACAAGCTAACTAATCTGCTCGTGCACTCCTCCGAGCCAATAATTAAACCTACCGCTGTCATCAGTTACAATCTTAGAAATCATCACAACCTAGTTGCTATAGAGCATTGTCAGACTTACATGCGGTATAATTTCTTCTTAAATAAGTTTTCAGTCATTCGGAATAGGCTACCAGCTGATGTGCGCGATGCAAACACACTCGCAGTGTTCATCTCCTCAGTCACCAGACTGCTCAAAGATGACAGTGCACTTCTGCGTCTGAATCCTACACCCACTTTTTCACCCCACATAGATATTTTAAGTTCATTAAACGTGTAGTTACAACAAACTACAATTATAAATTTGAATATTATTGGAAGTACATGATAGACATTTTTACACGGGACAATAATATTAGTTCACACAATATAAAAGTTAGCATCACGGGAATAGTTAGTTAGTGCACCAAAATAACTATAATTACTAAACAGAATATAAATGTGTATATTCACATTAATCACTCCCTAAGTACTCCACTTGCTTTCTTTTGCGTTGTTGTTGTTGTTTGTCTTCTTTTGTCTCTCACCATTTCAGCTTCCATTTAACTTTTTGAAAGAGAACAAAGAATGTACATTTTCGACCATTTACAATGACAAATGATCTGCAAACATTATTGGTCGCATATCTTACAATTCCCCCGTGAATTGCGCAAAGTTAAACTTCCGACACCAATAACAACCAATCAGCAAACGACCTTGAACTGACCAACCACATTGAAGAGGCGTTTATGATAAGTGGAAGCGTATATTTGTACAAAAATGCATAGAAAAAAGTATAAAACCGTTACAATGGTTATCTTTCTCGAACATGGGACAAAAAGATGGGACTGTCAATAGAAGAATCGCACCACATTCTGTACATATATTCGTCCAAATGACTAAAAATGGCATCCTTTTGCCACCCTTTTATAGCCCGGATCCTATTTTTCAATCTCCCCTAAAAACCTTCATTTGAATTGGTATGGGTCCCAGTAACAGGATCGACGTAATCATTCGAGTGGTTCACTCCATGGTGAATGTAACCCAGAGATGACAAGGAATCATAGCCTTTCCACTCGTCCATATGCACAATTGAACCCCTTTTCACAAGTCGAGTTATAATAGGGATCAAAGTGCTCGCCTTCCTGTCTCCTATCCTTTCAACAAACCCTTTTCGAAGGGACGTGTCGTATAAACCGATAACCCAAATGTTGTTTGCTCTCTGACGACCCCGATTGTATTTCTTCTTTATCAACACTGTCTCGTCTACATGGACTACTACGTCCTCCCCGCCTAACAGCGAAGTAATTCTGTCCATTTTCCATGATGCTATATCTCTACAATGCTGATACCATTGGACTGTTGAGACGAGGTTGTTCTCCGTCTCCGCAGCTGCCACTCTCACTGGCTGCTTCAGTACCCAATAGTTGCAGATATACAAAATTTGGGTTAGAGAGAGATGTGACCTAGCAAAAATGTTCCTGCGGAATATTAAAATTAGCAGCTTACCCTCTCTAATACTAACTCGTTTCCAACATATTCCACAACGATGGACAAATCCATCAGTTGACCTCGAATAGCTTTTCAGAGTCATAACACCACCACAGGAACACTTTCTCTCCTTTCTTAGCAAGCCTAAGTTTAGGCAATACTGAACTACACTATCCTCCTCGAACTGCAAACGTAACCTTGTAAGGGCACGCATTGTAAGTGAATCAAGCGCTGTACAACATTGAACTACGTTCGTGAATCTCATTGGATAATTCGACGTCATCGCTGATTGGTAGTTATTGGTGTCTAAAGTTTAACTTGGCCGCTATCAGTACATGAGAATCACCTATAAATGCTAACAGAACCTTCTGCGGGAACAGAAGTTATCATGTAGCCGTGTCTTTCACTGTATGTGTGTTTGCAAACACACATCCTGTCCATGGACAGGAATTATGGTAAGTTGAAAGGTTATCTCCAAGTGGATTTAATATATATTTACACTGATCGGCGCAGTATAATCTGGGTTATGTGAATTCAGTGTACAAAAATATCTCAACTGTATTAATATTGTGCCATTGTTTGCTTAGCTGACTGCTAGGCTAACAAATGTAGGTGGTTCTCGTGATTGTTGCAAGTGCAGTGCATTTGAGAAGGCAATAACTCGTTTAATTTTCCTCACTGTTTCAATTAGTGCAATGATTCACTGTATAGTAATAATATACACATGGTTTGTGTTGATTACGAGAATTGAATCTAGTTAGCTGTATTATTATTAATCTACCGTCTGACACTGTAAGTTTAACACCGCAGTGTTTTTGATTACCAATAGTGGAGATGAATTTCTTCTGAAATTTCCATTTACCTGAAACAGTACAGATGCAGTGTCACGATTGAGTGTCTAGGTTGCTTTATATGTCATTGTTATACTCATCAACACAACAGGTCCGTGTATCTTACAATAGTTTAAGTATTTCTCTATGTTGTTAACATTGTGCATAGCTGTTTAGAGATGAGGCATGTTCAGCTTATATTTGATGACTACAGATTCCTAAATATGAGAATATAATTTCTGTAGGATTCAGAAAACTATGCCCACTAGACATTACTGAGATTGTTAATCGCGACAGATAGATAGACTATATGATAGACAGTTAATCAATATGATGTGACCTTCTTGTCGCGATTATTGGTCAATTTATTGTAACTCTCACCACGTGATGGCCCTGAGTGTTCTTTTTTGTCTGTCACTCTATTTGTGTATACATGTAATTAATCGACTGTTCATTTTGTCCGTACCCTCAATACTGTTCGGTACGTTTTTGTCCTCTTTTTGTAATGACAGTGGATTTGTACATTTTTCTTGGGGTAATTGTATGATTTATTTTATGTTTTAGAAACAGATAAAGTTAAGTCAAGTCATCCTGTTTTTAACTATAGCTAACCCGAGACTCTGTATCGTCAGTACTGAGGAAAGAATAAATTTGTAGGTAAAAAATAATCCTACAAAGCTTCGAACAGTATGGCGGACGAAAGTTATGAAACTATGCCGTCGTTAACTCCACAGTTAGAAAAGAGTAATGAATCTGATTTCACTGGAAGCAACGAGAATAAATCACGCTATATGGTAGAATTGAAGCTAGCGAGATTGCGCATAGTTCAAAAAGAGAAAGAAATGGAATTAGAAAGATTACGACAAGGTAGTCGCTAATGTTCTTGTCACAATAAATCGCCTTACAAACCTTCTACTTCTCATAAAGTCGCTGTATCTCTTAATGATGAGTTCGCCAGAGGCATATCTAAGTTTCTGGACATGCTTAAAAGATATCAATATTTTAAAATGGATGCCGATGAACTTGAGTGTTGGATCAATAAAAAACTGCAAACATATGCAAATGAGGATTTTAAAGAACTCAGTAATCTTCAGGTGAAGAAACAGAAACATCAAGAGTTTGAGTTCGAAGTAACAGTTCATGCTGAAACACTGTCAGCTCTGGATTCTGCGGGAGAAGAAATGAATGGTCAGGGACACTACGCAACAGATATTATCAAAAACCGTATTGATGAATTGCATGCCCTGTGGGAAAGGCTTATGGCTATTTTCAGAGAAAAATCACGTCTTATTAACCTAATGCTTATATTTGTCCAGTTTTTACGCCAAGTCGAGGAGATACTTTTCTGGATACGTGAAAAAGAAACTTACGTAACATCAGAGGATTTCGGTCAAGACCTGGAACATGTTGAGACACTTCAAAAAGGGTTTGATGAGTTTACAAAGGATCTCGAGTATCAAGAAAGTCGTGCCGAAGATATCTATCGGAAGGCAGATGAATTTCTAAAAGAGGAATTTCCTGAGGATGCCCTAGTCATAGAAAAGTCCAGAGAGGTCCGCGAAGCTCTAGAACGTCTGAAGGGTCTGGCTAGAAAACGACAAGAAAAGCTACTGGAAGCCTATGAGATACAGAGCTTCTTTAGAGACACAGATAGAGCTATATCGTGGGTGAATGAAAAGTCAATTCCTTTATCCATTGAGGACTGTGGTCGTGATCTTGCCTCAGTTCAAGCCTTACAAGTGAAGCACGAAGCATTAGAAAGGGATTTGACTGCTCCAGATGAAAAGATTGTTCAACTTGGAAATGATGCTAAGGCGCTTGCACAGAAGCATCCTGATTCGTTAGACACTATACAAGGCAAGTATGACGCCTTAATTACTGCATGGGATAAGCTGAAAGGTCAGGCTGTAGATAGGAGAGGTAAACTGGAAGAGTCATTCAAGATGCATCGCTTTTTGGCTGACTGGAGAGACTTGAGTATCTGGATGAATGAAATGAAGACGTTAATATCGGCGGATGATTTGGCAAAGGATAAAGCCGGTGCTGAAGCCCAAGTAGAGCTACATAAGGAATACACCGCTGAGATAAATTCTCGAGCTGACAGTTTGGATACATGCATGCAAGAAGGTCAGGCATTACTAAGTGTTGGCCATCCCTGTAATGGAGACATAGCTGCTAAACTTTCCACCCTTGAAAGAGAGAGAGCCTCCCTGATGCAGTTGTGTGAGGAAAGACGTGAACAGCTAGAACAGTGTATGGGCCTTCAGTATTTTTACCGCGACGCTGAACAGTCGGAATCTTGGATTGGTAAGCAAGAGGCCCTCTTAGAAACAAAAGATGTGGGAGGCTCACTCAATTCTGTGGAAGCACTCATAAGGAAACATGAAGACTTCGAAAAGTCACTTTTAGCACAAGAAGAAAAGATGCGGCAACTTGATGAATTCGCTGCAAACTTAATCGAATCAAACCACTATGCGGCTGCACAGGTTCATGAGATTCAGGAAGGTCTCCAAAATAGACGAAATGCATTAAAGGAGAAAGCTCAGAACCGCCGTCAGCGTCTTGAAGATTACCACCGCTACCAAATGTTCGATAGAGATGCAGATGAAATGCAGTCATGGATATCAAGAAAACTTGAAAACGCACTTGATGAAAGTTACAAAGACTCCACGAATTTGCAAACAAATATGCAGAAGCACCAGAATTTTGAGGCGGAAATACAAGCGAACCAATCCCGCGTTGAAGATATTAAAAAGACAGGTCAGGATTTGTTAAATGCAGACCACTGCAACTCGCCAGAAATAAAAGTAAAGATTGAACAGTTGGATGAAACTTGGTCTCATCTCGTAAATGTCATGGGAGACAAGAAGAAAAATTTAGATCAAGCAAGTAGGTAACAACAGTTCGCTCGCAACGTAGAAGATGTCGAGTTATGGTTGAATGATGTTGAAGCTCATATAGCCTCAGAGGATGTCGGTCGTGATCTAAACGGTGTGATGAAGGCACAAAAGCGGCACAACTTGCTTGAATATGATGTAGCTGCCCTTCGTGAAGGTATAGATGCATTCAAAGTCCAGGCTGACACGTTTGCTGCAGAAAGTCATTTCAACGCTGTTGTAAATAGGTCAGTGTCTAAAAAATTCCAACGACTTGTAAATAATGCTGAAAGGTTGTTAACAAGTTTACCCTGGTATTCTACGTCTGAAAAAGTTAATTTCTTACAGCCAAACTTTACTAGTATTGATGTAGTGACGTTCGCGACTTCTGGAATTCCTGTTGGAACTAATATTCCTAACTATGATGATGTACGACAAGTTGATGGATTTAAAAATGTTTCTTTGGATAATGTACTTAGTGTTCGTTTCAAGGATCCTAAAACAGAATTTCTACGTAATGAAGACAAGCGAATGTACGTGGAACATATTGAAAGTTCCTTTAAATTACAAGTTGGACTTCATGAGCTGATGGGATATAGTTCTGGTAAACTGTTTCGGTGTGATTGTTATGGAAAACGAAATTTCCACACGAAAACTACTGAATATGTCATAAATGGAGGTCCTATAAAAGGTTGGTGTGAACCAAGAGAAATGTTTGACAGCAAGTTTTCAAAGCTTTCATCCGCAATTGAAGAGTGTCAAACTGAGTGCGTTGGAATTAATTTATCTGATTTACCTCTTGTTCTGGAGCAGTTCGGTTTGAATACCAACTGTGCTCAAGGCGATGTCTCAGATGTAGTCTATATTAATTGGTTGTCAATGATTCCTTCAGTTGTAACTTCCATAGAGTTTTATTCTCCAGCAGGAAATGCTGATGACATTGGATCATGGTGTCAAGCACATTACTGTGCTTGTTATGCGATTCTGCGAGTTTTGATTGAAGCTGACGATTTTATGGTACGTACAGATGAAGTAGTCGTTCTAAAAGGGCTTTTAACTGCGGCTCGTTCAACAATTGGTGAATTCTTAAGAAAATTACAATATTACAAAGGTAAAGCGAATGCTATGTATGGATATGCTTTCTTCCAACACTATAGTCAACTACTTCCAAAATATTTGACTGATTTGCTCTGGCATAAATGGCTACGTGGATATCTTCTGATGCTGCAAACAAGATCTAAGTGGTTGGATATAAAGCACAACCTACAACCTGATGATCTCGTCTTAGTTAACAGTGCTGACACACAGAGAGGTCTCTGGCGAAAGGCTATAGTTAAGCAGATGTACTATGACCAAGATGGCCTCGTCAGGACAGTGTGTTTGAAAACTTCAACTCAAGAAGTGGAACAAGATATAAGAAGCGTATGTTTGCTGGAAGAAGCAGACAACTTTATGGTTCCAAGTACAAGAAGTCAACGTGGTGATCGTTCGCGGGGAGTGTTAATCGCGACAGATAGATAGACTATATGATAGACAGTTAATCAATATGATGTGACCTTCTTGTCGCGATTATTGGTCAATTTATCGTAACTCTCACCACGTGATGACCTTGAGTGTTCTTTTTTGTCTGTCACTCTATTTGTGTATACATGTAATTAATTGACTGTTCATTTTGTCCGTACCCTCAATACTGTTCGGTACGTTTTTGTCCTCTTTTTGTAATGACAGTGGATTTGTACATTTTTCTTGGGGTAATTGTATGATTTATTTTATGTTTTAGAAACAGATAAAGTTAAGTCAAGTCATCCTGTTTTTAACTATAGCTAACCCGAGACTCTGTATCGTCAGTACTGAGGAAAGAATAAATTTGTAGGTAAAAAATAATCCTACAGAGATTGTGGATCAATTTCTCAGCTACATATTTGCAATACCTCATTTAACGTAGACGTATTTAGTGTGAAATTGACGAGAGACTGACGCCTCAACAGAATGGGTGTTTCAGAGTTTATCTTGAGATTTGCGTGTAATCCTCTAATGCTGGACAACTTATGAGGCACATTTATGCGTATGGCGTCAATATAAAGACCAGCTGTGGACTACTTATTCTTTTATTTGTATGGGAATTTTACTCAGTATTATTATTAATACTAATATATAAAATTACATTTCATAACTTCATGTTGGGCTTCACATTTTAGGTATATGGAGCTTGTGGAATTTGAAATCAGTGGAAATGTCAATCTGTCAAACTAACACTAATACCCTTCATCAGATTTTTCATTTGTAAATTAATGAAATGCTTAATATATTCTTCATTTCTACTCCTTCTGAACTTTTTCAATGCGTCGCCATACTTTGAGCTTTCGTAATATGTGAATTCTGATTAATGCATGTTAAGCTTAGTGGAATGGAGATTTACTACAGTATTATGAGACTGTTACTTTAATCATTCATAGGATTTCGAGTCTGTTTCTATAAAATAGCACATTGTGAAAACTAAGTAGGATTTAGCAAGTTGAATTATAATTTCGTAATGTTCGTTGCGCTAAAGTCGCCCTATTTAGCCAGTTGCAAGTCTGTATAGTGCTAAACGCCAAGTATGTAGCACAAGTAAATGCAGTAAATCAGAGTTGATAGCTACTTCATTAATCAGTTAATATGCAGTGGCATCATCAAATAGACTGTCCACTTGGCGACGAGCTAAGAAACAATTTTTTATTTATTTCTGATATGCTGTTGAATAATGTGATGTTATCTAATATATCCGTCATTTCTATGATCAACAACTGCAGTGCTTGAATATCTACTTTGCTAATTTCAGTTTTAGATGTAAAAGAAAGTTAAATGAAGCTGTTAATTCCCATTACCGTCGCATAACATGATAGTGATATAGAAATCAAGTCGGACGTTAAGTATCGGATTAATTTTTCTTCTGACCAATCCTGGTCTTCCCATGTCTTAGCGATTTCTAAAATAATATTTCGTCTGACTGTTCACATTAAGAAGTTAAGGCACTCGAGCGTAACTTATCCCCTCCTCTTACAGTTTGTCAGTTCGTATATCTTACCTATACTTGACCTGTTCTTCTTGCTTTAATTAGGATAGTACCGTGTTTTGCAGAACTCATCACACAGCGTGTAGAACCCCTGTACCAACTATAAACATACGATTTTAATCTAATTTGCATACTCATATTATATGTTTACACATACCGATTTTATATGTACTTCGTAAACATTTGTCAATTTACTGTTGAGCGTTACCTTGATACAATTTTGAAATTTGACTACTGCTATAATACACGGTTACACTCTTCACAAGTGCCTTCTGATTTTACGTTGTGGGCGTCGAGTAGCCACACCGTCTGCGCACATTGATAAACGTGAAGAAGTACTAGAAAATACGTGTACGCTAATTTAGTCAAATAGAACACGCAACAAATTGGTGAGCCTGACGACAAATTGCTGACTCCGACGACGACGACTTTTGACCTCGACGCGTTGTTACACTTGCTGGATTATTAAAACTCTAACTTTCGCGGATTTATATATTTATTAAACAATTCGAACTCATTCTTGTGTTTGCTCATAGCACAACCTGCAGTAATTTGTGGTAAGCATCTGCATTGCATGTTTTTCTGTTTTGCCATATTCTTATTGTGCACAAATTTTGCCATTTTGCTACTCTTAAACCATTTTTTACGAATTGTAACATGTCTTCCAATACCTCTGATAATTTAGAGTTGGGATCTGTTAGTATTATTTCTCTTACTGTACCTGTTTTTAAGCCCAGAGACCCTCATCTTTGGTTTGCTCGACTGGAACATTATTTGGCTAGCAATAAGCTCACGTCACAGACAGCTAAATTTGGCATTTTGAGTACAGTACTACCAGACGAAGTCGCCGAGCAGGTACGGCAATACATCGTCCAACCCAGCACAGAAGCGCCTTACGAGAAGTTGAAGGAAGAGGTACTGCGATGCACTTCGCTTTCGGATAGGCAAGCACTCGATCGCCTGTTAAGCAATGTTGAGTTAGGTGATAAAACCCCGTCGCAACTCATGAGGCATATGCAAAGCCTAGTTGCCGGAAGAGAAATCGATAAACGTCTCTTTTACCAAATATGGCTACGACGACTTCCCGCAAACATCCAGCAGGTTCTTGCTTTCGGAGACGACGACATTTACATAGAAAGGCTCACCGAAATCGCGGATCGCATGTACGAGAGGTCAACACCTCAATCTGTCGCTTCCACTAGCAGAATACCAGACACTCACGATAGAATACAGACTCTAGAACACAAAGTCGACACCTTACTGAGTCAGTTAGCAAAACTGACTACACGCACACAACCAAGCCGTTCTAGAAGCTCGTCTCGTCGACGTCTTTCTCGATCCCCTAGCACGTTACGACATCGCGATAGTATTTGCTGGTATCACCGTAGTTATGGAAGCAATGCACGACGGTGCCGTTCACCTTGCAACTTTCAGACTAAACCAAAAGATATATCGTCATGTGTGAAAACTACTGTTGGCAATCTACGATCTAACAGTTGTTTGTTTTATGTAACAGATAAAAACACCGGTACGACATTCTTAGTTGACACAGGAGCAGAGGTGAGTGTTCTCCCTCCGTCTACACAGGAATGTCAGCATCCTGACCCAGCAGTTACGCTCCAAGCTGTTAATCAGTCCAGTATTGTTACATATGGAACTAAGCGAATGACTTTAGATTTTGGTTTAAAGAATACCTACACTTGGTGTTTCATCTTTGCAGACGTCCCATCCCCAATCCTCGGTATCGATTTTCTACAGCAACACAAACTGTTAGTTGATCCGATAAGCCCCAAGCTAATAGATTCGCTCAATAAAACGTACATTGCTGGTACGATTAGCCGTGCATCATCACTGAACTTGATGGTCACACGCACACCAGCACCTCCATATACCAATTTGGTAAATCAGTTTCCTGACCTTCTACAACCTTCTTTTCGAGGAACAGAACCGAAGCATCATGTGGTTCATCATATTAAAACCACTGGACCACCAGTTTTTGCACGTCCCCGACGCCTTGACCCACATCGACTTAAAATCGCCAAAACAGAGTTCGATAAAATGCTAGAGCTTGGTATTATTCGCCC